CGATGTTATTTAATTTTTAAAAATAATATAATAAAATTGCATATCTGCAATATGACTAATTGAATGAATAAAAAATAAATTATTTTTTCAGACGAGTTTTACATATAAGGTAAAGAGTTCAAAATCTAAAATCATTATTATTTAGAGAATTTTATCTAAATATAATATTCGTCCATCGAAATATAAAAATACAAAAGAAAATTGATTATTCAATAAAAAAAAAAACCTATATTTAAGTAATTTGGCTAATGGTTATCCATGAGGGGAAAAAAAATGAAAAGAAAATTCTTCCTAACAAAAAGAAACTAGAGCTACATTGCTGCCGGCCGGCCAGTCATGCTCCACCTAATGGGATTTAAACAAGAAAAATTTTCAAAAAAAATTTCTATATGCTTTCCTCATATTATTATAAAATAATGTCGCACTATGCAAAATATATATATAGGCATTGGGAACTAAAAAAAAGGACCTTAAATTCGAAATTATTAAGTAAGCATATTTACTTATTTAGGAGAAAAAAACATTAATTTTTGTGAACCTATATTAGTATTAGTTACCCTCATTTTTGAAATATTTAATAGGTAAAATTTAATAAATTAATTAACTAGATGTGTTATGGTATGTTTTCTCATTAGTGTGAGGAGTGAAATAGAACATCATATTATCTCAGTCATTGAGTCTTCTAACAAATAAAAAAAATTATAAATTAAAATGTTCAGTGAGATAGTAAAATTGAGTGCATCGTAAAATTCCGAAGTATTTTTTCTTCTATAACTTATTTTTCCCCCTTTTGCTATGGTCTCATTGTCATGCATGTCAAGTTACCGAGAAAAAAAGGACCAAAAAAAAAAACAAAAAGTCAATGTAGCAAATTTATTCCTCACCGATATATTTTATATATTCTTAGAATATCCTTTGTTAAAAATTATTAATAATTATTTGGATTTTCACCATTTTTTTTAATAATTGATGAAAATGTAAATATCAAGATATTTAATTGTCAAAATTGGGGATCAATGTAGGCAAAACAAATTTTTAGCACCTCAATAATCAAAACTTATAAAATTGAGATATTTTTATGGGCATTTAAAAATATCATTGATATTTTTAGAATACGCTTGAGTGAAATTAAATGTTTTGTCTAGCAATAATTTTGAATTAGCTTTTAGTGTTTTGACCATATCAAAACCCTATCTCTATTAACTGTAGTGTTCGTAACATAATAATAAATTGAAGAAGTTTTTTTATGACAATCATTCACATTCTTTTTTCCCTCCGAATTAAGCTAATTAAATTGATAAACAATTATTTTTATCGAACACTTCTAATTTAAACACACATATAAACAACTACTAATTAAAAGTTAATAGCTAATATTACATAACATATGGAACAATAATTATTTCTATTTTCTACTAATTAAAAGTTAATAGCTAATATTACATAACATATGGAACAATAATTATTTCTATTTTTACTGGTATGTATGATGCTTGATTTGATAAGTAATTAATATTCGTCCATCGAAATATAAAAATACACATGCAACACAAAAGAAAATTGATTATTCAATCAAAAAATCTACATTTAAGTAATTTGGCTAATGGTTATCCATTGAGGGAAAAAAAAAAAAAAAGAAAAGAAACTTCTTCCTAACAAAAAGAAACTAGAGCTACATTGCTGCCGGCCGGCCAGTCATGCTCCACCTAATGGGATTTAAACAAGAAAAATTTTCAAAAAAAATTTCTATATGCTTACCTCATATTATTATAAAATAATATCGTACTATGAAAAATATGTATATCTATAGGCATTGGCAACTAAGCAAAAAGACCTTAAATTCGAAATTATTAAATAAGCATATTTACTTATTTAGGAAAAAAAACATTAATTTTTGTGAACCTATATTAGTATTAGTTACCCTCATTTTTGAAGAAGACGAGGTAATTATCGACAAACGAGAGAGAAAAAATAAGAAAAAGAACAGGTAGACTTCTAGAATTCTACATACTACGTAATTACAATAGACAAAAATGAAAGATTTCTTGAAACAGTGTCCTCCTTTGGTCTTGACTTCTAGAAAACCATTATCTGTCAAGATTAATCAAGTCAAAAGGATCAAACCGATCCTACTTATTGGGTCCAAAAGTTGTCTTTGATATTATAATTGTTTCGTTAACCTATGTATATTTTGGTTTAATAATAAAATAATATGAAAAGTCAAATTATTCATGCTAAAATGATGACAAAAAATTTTCATGTTAAAGACAAAGCTTTTATTTTTACACGAAATTTATCTATAAAATTTAAAATTGTCACTGTTTGAAAAATTTTATCTGAATATTATTTCCGTTTGAATATAAATTAATCAAATTCACATAATGGAACGAGAACACATGTGATGCAAGGAAATAAAAAGAAAAAAAATTTCTAAGCCGCCAGATATTGACCTCTCTCCCATGGAATGAAATTCTTGAAATTAAAATGTTTATTTGGCTCAGAATGTTCTAATTGTCAATTATCCTTTATCTTGGAGTACTATTACGTATGTATATATTATAATTTATATATGGTTTTTCAACAAGCGAGTTAGACAAAATCCTTTACAGTTTAAATACATCACTGTCTAATTTTCAAAAAAAAAAAAAATCAAAATTATTGATTAATTTTCAAAAAAAATAAAAATAAAAGTTATAAAAGTTAATACATTAAGAGTAAAGCGCTCCCAACAACTTTAATCTCATTTAAAAGAGAAGAATGTTAAATCACTTATTCCAACACTCGTTAGTAATCAATAAAAAATTTTTTAATACCATGTCTACCAAAACCTATAATATGAATGAATACTATTGTAATTTCATCTGAATAGTAATATTTTCTCTCAAATATGTCTTATTTTCTTTTTAATTTGGAGAAATTCAATTTTGATGGGCTCAAAAGAAATTTTTTATATGCATTTTCTTTCCTTCAATATTTTTTTCTTATTCTCAAACAAGGTAGAGTGATTTTACATCAATATTTTTCTTCCTTATTTTATTTCTTCCCACATTTTCCTCCCATCTAAACATAACGTAACAGCTATAACTTATTGAAATATTTAATAGTGTAATTTAATAAATTAATTAACCAGATGTGTTACGGTATGTCTTCTCGTTAGTGCGAGGAAGGAAATGTATCGATTTAAGGGGAACTATCTATTATATAGCTCATCATGTTATCTCAATCATTGAGTTTTTTAACAAATATAAAAAATTATAAATTAAAATATTCGGTGAGATAGTAAAATTGAGTGTATCATAAAATTCTAAAGTATTTTTTCTTCTATAACTTCTTTTTCCCCTTTTGCTATGGTCTCATTATCATGCATGTCAAGTTACGGAGAAAAAGAAGAAGAAAAAACAAAAAGTCAATTTAGCAAATTTATTCCTCACCGATATATTTTATATATTCTTAGAATATCCTTTATTAATAATTATTTGGATTTTCACCATAATTTTTTTTAATAATTGATGAAAATATAAATATCAAGATATTTAATTGTCAAAATCGGGGATCAATGTAAGCAAAAAAAGTTTTAGCACCTCAATAATCAAAACTTATAAAATTGAGATATTTTTATGGGCATTTAAAAATATCATTAATATTTTTAGAACACGCTCGAGTGAAATTAAATGTTTTGTCTATCAATAATTTTAAATTAGCTTTTAGCGTTTTGACCATGTCAAAACTCTATCTCTATCAATTGTAGCGTTCGTAACATAATAGTAAATTGAAGAAGTTTTTTTATGACAATCATTTACATTCTTTTTTCCCTCCGAATTCAGCTAGTTTAAACTGATAAACAACTATTTTTATCGACCACTTCTAATTTAAACTCATGTATAAACAATTACTAATTAAAAGTTAATAGCTAATATTATAAAACATATGGAACAATAATTATTTCTATTTTTATTGGTATGATGCTTGATTTGATAAGTAATTAATATCACATTGGCAATTTTAATTAATTGCAACAAACTAGGTAGGATTCATTATTTTTTTTTTTGAAATTGAGATATGGAGGATTCGAACTTGAATTTATTGTGAGGTTATACATACACTTATTACTAGATTATATCTTAGTGTACAGACATAATTCATTAATTAATTACCAATATTATAAAATATGAATTTATGGTAAATTAACATGCAAGAGTCAAAATGTAGTGCTTTGATTTTAATATTGAAAAGGACATCATTCAATTACATAGAGAAGCTGAAAATGAAAAGAAGAAAAGAGACACATAAAGACTAGAAAATTTTGGTGGCCTAATCTCAATTGTCAACCTCAAAAACTTGAGGTTTCAATCGTGTCAACTGCTCCATCTACTTGTAAAAACTTTACATTGATTCTATTATTCACAAATATTCTATATTTAGTGTATGACTGAATCTAATCTACCGATATATCCATTCAATTCTTATATATCACTTTAAAAAAATTAAAATTTATAGTATTAATTTATCTATTTTTCTTATTTTTATGTGTTAAAATAAATTTATTGAATTAATTGATGTACCAGCAAACTCATAAACCAAATATAGATATTTCTTAATTTAGATAATAACATATTGCTGGGATGTTCTTGCATGATTCTCAAATTCAATAGTTTTTGTGTTATATGTCATACTATTTTCCAAAAAATTAAGGTTTATATTTAAAATATTAATCAATAACATTTAAAGGTGTATAGTTATTAAATTATTATTTTGATGTAAAATTAGTAGAGATTAATTTTTGAATTTTTATTTTAGTTTTACGAATTAAACTTCGAATCGGATAATAATAATAATAATAATACTGTTAATTTTTGGCTTAGGGGATTTTTCAGTCTAAGCAAGGGGTTGTTCAAGTTCAATCAACCCAACGAAAAGCCCAAGATAAAAAACACTAGGCAAAAGCCCATTGTCGCCAATGCCAATTAGTGAATTAGATCAACTCAGCGAGTCGATTCAGACAATTTCAAACTTCTCGCTTTCTCTCATCTTCAATTGGGGTCCAACAAAAATAGTCTTAACTTACCAATTACCAGTGGCGAATCTATGTCCAATCCATGCCCACAAGGTTTCACTCTCAGTTTCAGCTTCAGCTTCGTATACTTAACAAAAACCTTCAAGGTAAAGCCTTTATCTCTCTCTTTCTCACTTTTTTTTCCCCTTTATAGCACAGAGATATGTACAATCCTTGCATTGGTAGCTCAGCTGTATTAACACTTAGAACAAAAGGGTCTCTTTCATTTTCCTTCGATGACTACACTAACTTATTAAATGATAGATTTGATAGGAGCCCATTACAATCGCCATCTTCACAATGCTGTTCTTTGTGTTATAATTGTTGTTCTTGTTGTGAATCATCATTTGCCAATCATAGGCTGCCTATAAAGCCCAGCTTATTTTATGGGTTGAGGCAATCCACTCTTATTCAGTTCTCGCCATGTAAAAGACTTATCTTTGGCGGTAGGGACCGGTATTATTACCGGATCCCGGCTTATGGCCTTGATCATGGTTGTTATGAGGTTTCTTGTTCTTTTAAAGAGGAAAGTGGTGGTGCAAGAATTGAGAGGAGAAAGAACGGAAGGGTTTTTCAAGAGGAGAGTAGTGGGGCAAGAATTGGGAGGAGAAAGAAGGAAAGGGTTGGGGGCGACGTAAATTTGCGTGAAAGGCGGTGTTTTAGTAGTGCTGCTGATGCTGAGGCTGTGATCAATTTTTTGAGCGAGGAAGTGACTGAGGAGTATTTAGATGATAGAAATGAAAATGGAATTTTGTCAAAGAGAGTGGAAATGGGAAAGAGAAGTAATTTTGGTGGTGCATATAAGCAGCGGAGGAAGAAGAATGCTAGGGTGGGTTTATTGGAGAGCGTGTCAAAGAGTGAGTTGGAGGCAGTTACAAGTGAGTTGAGGAAGGAAGAGTATAGAAGGGAGGAAGAGAGAACAAAATTTGGAAGGAAGAAAGAAAGGAAAGAATTGAGAAGGGAAGAGGATAGGGAGGGGAGAGAAGAAATGAAAAATGTTGCTAGAGGTGAGAACTGCAGGGACAGAAAAGCAAGCTCTAGTTTTTCGTCTTATTACTCGCTTTCTTCCACGGGGGATTTTGAGCATGATAATGAAGCTCAAGATGAGCGTGTTGGTTTACTGGAAGAATCATCAAGTGGATATAAGGAAGAGTTATGGAGCAGTGAGGATAAATTTGAGGGGTATGTGTTGGGAGAGTATGAAAGGCATGGAGATGCGGGCCATAGAAAGGTTTTCGAGCAGGGGACTAGTACCATAAGAAAAGGTGCTGATTGGGATTTGAGAAAGAAATCTGAGAAGAAACTTACTGAGATTGATGAAATAGAGTCCAAAATGGAATCCTCACAATTGGACTCAAGAATGGGAAGGACAATTGAAAGTGACTTTGAGATGGTTTCAGGCTCTCACAAACAAATTGATAACAAGAATGAGAAGTTAAATTTGGCAGTCAATTTTGAGAAAGGAACAAGGAAGCAATATAGTCAAACAGGTGAACAAGTCACAGAACAGTCTCAGTTCAGAACAAATTACCAGGAAATTGCTAATATGCAGGAAATCCAACCAAACAATGTAAGAAAAACTTCCCTATACAATGGCAGAGAAGAAAACCTGTCTCTAGATGTAGATTTGGTTGGGGAACGAAGAGGTGAATGTCGTAATAAAGTTACTGAAACTACTGGACAGAGTGATAAAAGAAGAAACACCTTGCAGCTCACTGCAATGTCAGAAATTGAAAATATCGACAGGGAAAGAGTTTCTAATTTGCAGAGGCAGTCCGAGTCTAGAATGAAAATCCGCGAAGAAGATAGAAATCTTGAGTCTGTTGGGGAGACAAATGAGAAATGCCACCAGAAATTGGAGCGCTTAACTGGACAAATTGAGTCAAGAAGAGGAACACAACAGCTCTCTGAAATATCAGAAATACATGACAAAAATGGCAGAAAGACATCCATATTACGATCTGGAAATGGAATGGAGATCCAACAAGGAAGTATGGGTGTTGTTCATCATTCAGTTGAAGCAAAAGAGCAAAGGCCCCACACGGATCAAAAAATTACTCAGAGAATTCAATCCAGAAAAGGATCCCAAGATGCCACTAATATATCAGTGAACGTAACCAATGTAGCAGTGATTCATGCTTCTAATGTAGAAACTGTCAATGATTCTCGAAAAGCATCAGGAAAGAGAATGATTGATCAAGGAAGTGAATTGACATCATTTGTGAAACCTATTCAAGAAACAGGAGAAAGAAATAATCAAACTGATGGAAGCATCAGTCAGTTCATATCAAGAAATGAGTCTCACATGGCCACTGAAGTGTCGAGTTTTCAAGAAAAAACTTCACAAGAGGCCTCTGGTTCTCAAGCATACCTGAATATGGTTTCTCAGGCCAGTAGACAAAAGACTGATGTGGAGGAGGGGGATTACCAAAGTTCGCAGGTAATAATGCTACCGCCATTTCCACAAGTGGTAGCTCGTGATTCATCACATGTTGATACAATTAGTGGGATTGCAAAACAAGAAGTTCTCCGAGAAACTTCTGAAAGCAGCTCAAGTGCTATTTATTTGAATTCAGGAGGGAGAAATCCAACGTCAAAGCAGGAACAACGTGGAAGAGATGAGAAGGGTGAGATGTATGAGGAACCTTTGAAACTTGTGGTCCCTGAAGATGCTATGGGTTCGGCCTATCGTCTAGAGGAGTCATCAATGCAGTTTGTTGGGGAATTCGTGGAGTCGGCAAAACATGAAGCATTGGCATCTGAAATCCAAAAGGATAAACATTCTGACTTGATATATGAAGGTGAGAAGGGAGAGGGCTCTGGTCAATATGGTTCTGGAGACTTACGGTTGAAGGAACGGGACTCAAGGAGATCATCTGGTGGTTCTGGAGTAAAGGGTCCTTCTGATGAAATGTGGGATGTGGCAGCGACATCTATTCAGGAACCTAATGAGATAGAAGCACCGGAGGGTAGCATAGCAACTAAGACTACTGTAGTTAGGACTGGAAAGTCCATGTGGAGTATCATAGCAGATATAGTTCGATTACGCTGGGGTTCACGTGCTGAAACCCCCAAATCAGTCAGAAGGTCAGGTGGTAAGAATTCATCAAATGCTTCTGTTAGTAGTGAGGCATGGTTTTCTGGCCATGAACATGAAGAAAAACGTGATAAGAATGTGGAAAGGGAAAGAAGAAGCATGCCTCAAGATGTCACTTCTTCTCATCATCTGCAACTAATGCAAACTTCTACTCAGAGTCAGGGAGAAATGTCTGGTGCAATTGGATCAAAGGACATAATAAGACAGCATGAAGAAGATAAATCATTTGCTTCAACTATATTGAAAAGTGGGTCCACATCAAAAGGCATTTCCTCTCCTTCTGAAGAAGAAAACCTTATTTGGGAACACAATGGGAAGAGTTTGTCAGGAACAAGGAGTCAAAGTGGAAGGAGTTCTCAGTTTTTCTCTCCTAATGTAGAATTAAAGGAATCATCATCTGCACCACTGCCTTATAGTGGCATGAGCTCTCCTACTGTAGAAGAGAGTTATGGTAGGGGTAGAACTGATGTGCCTGTCAGTAGCTCAATGGAGCTTATGGAGCAAACTGCTAGTGCAAAGTCAACTGATGTATCAGATCCTGATGGGAAGAATAGCAAATTGAAACAGAGGAGACTTCAACGGACCCAGCAAGTTGTTAGGGATACATTTGATGAATGGGAAGAAGCATATATACGTGAAAATGAGCAGCGAAAAGTTGATGAAATGTTCATGAGAGAAGCACTGCTAGAAGCCAAGAAGGCTGCTGATACTTGGGAGGTGCCTGTTGGGGCTGTTCTGGTGCAACATGGGAAAATTATTGCTCGTGGATACAACCTGTAGGTTTTATAAATGCTTTTTAATTGTCTGATGTAGTGCTTGCAATGCTTTGGGTTCTTACTTGGAGATCTATGTTTTAGTGTGGAGGAGTTACGGGACTCTACTGCCCATGCAGAAATGATTTGTATACGGGAGGCTTCAAACAATCTTCAGACCTGGAGGCTCGCGGTAATTTATCTTTTTCATAACCTGCATTTACTCCCTTTGTCCCAAGTGCATGTCCTTTTTTAAGACTTTAATTCTTTTAGACTAATTGATTTTTTCAGTTCGAGTTAATTATGACTTTACAAAGTTCAGCAATTAGTTAACTGAGTTTGATATATGAAAAGGAGAAACTTGATGGTAAATTATGAATTCTGCCGAAAGTTGATTTTTCAAGTATCAGAATCAAAATATGGAAGGGAGGAGAAAACCTTTTCAAGTTGATAGCCTGGAAACTTCTTACTATCCTTGCATCTGAAATGCTTTTAATGATAAAATTTGAGCGTCAAAAATATCAGATTAGAAGCATGAAGTAGCTGCAATAAACAATGTTTTAGTCTTTAGATGTGAGCATAAGTGGCAGTGCTGACCACTGCGTCTGCAAGGCAATTGAAGTATAAATAATTGTGCTGTTTCTGGTCTCACTTTTGATGTATAGCCCTTAATACTTATAAAGCTTTAGTTTTGATGGGGGAATGGATATGAATTCCTGTAGAGCTTCTAGAAGCATTTAGCATTCTGGAGGATTGCATGAAGCAACCTTGAATCCTAGTTGCGCTTGCCTGGGTGTATGGATATGTTTTTCTCTTTATTATCACCACGTTCAGTTCTAAATTGCTGTAATTCGATGTAGATTCAATCCACCCAATTTTGTTTTTTGTGGGCTCAAATTCAACCATAAACTTGTAATTTTACAACATATAAAACCTTTAAACAACAAATTTCGCAAATCTTAAATTAAGATGGTATTCTTTTCCTGTCTGAGTCTCTTACCTTCAAAAGGTTTTCAATATATAGAAATGCAAACATTGAATGGTTAATTAAAGCTATGGTTTCGCAAGAACAGTTACGAGATTAATCCAGCAAATTCACAATTTCTTTCTCCATCTCCTCTCCTTCCTCTTCCCCCACCCCCAACCGGTCTCCTTTTTTTTTTTTTTTTATTCACAATTTCTTTTTCTCCATCTCCCTCTTTCCTTCCCTTTCCCACCCCAACCGGGTTCTCCTTTTTTTTTTTTTGATTATAGGATTCATATTCTTGAGAGAAAACATCACCTTTTTCTGTTGAAATGTTGCATGTAAAAAATATGTTTGTTCTGATTCTGTTGATTCTCAGGACAACCCACATTTATGTAACACTGAACCATGCCCTATGTTGTGCTGGAGCAATACTTAAGCAAAGAATACTCCTTTTTTTTTTTTTTTGATTATATGGATTCATATTCTTGAGAAACATCACCTTTTTCTGTTGAATGTTGCATTAAAATATGTTGTTTCTGATCTGTTGATTCTCAGGACACCACACTTTATGTAACACTTGAACCATGCCCTATGTGTGCTGGAGCAATACTTCAAGCAAGAATAGACAGTCTTATATGGGGAGCTCCCAATAAGCTTCTTGGAGCTGATGGAAGCTGGATTAGGTAAGCTACTGGCTTTTTTCTTCAAGAATTCTCTTGCATTTTGTAACTCTTCTTCTTTCCTCCAAAAAGATTTTTATGAATGAGGTAAACCATGTTTTTAATGTTTCAATTTAACAGGTATTCTTAGGGCTGCACTAGTCTTCAAATTAAGGGTAGTAATTTTGAGAATTTCTCCTCTTTTTGGCCCCTTGTTGTGCTAAGACTATGTTGAGGTGTGGTTAGATTGATACTAAATTACTCCACATCTGAAGGATTATAATTTCAATGATGAGAGTTATCAATAATCTGCTCTTGTTCTTTCAACTGAATACACTTGTCTTTCTGGATGGTTCCCTTTCTGTGGTACTTCCATCAGTAATCCTGGCGATGCCTTAGAATGAATCTGATGGCCATGGGCACCAAAATACAATGCATATATGGCTCATCCTGCATATTACCAGTTCTTTTCTTTTTCTTATCTTTCATTTGCAAAGAAAGCAAAAGGAAATGATGAATCACTTTCTAGCAGCCATCTAAATTATTATGACTGAAATGCCAGAATGATCTGGAACTTCTTGGTAATACAACTGAGAGAGCTCGAATCTTATTAATGTCTACTTTTCTGATTACCAGCAAAATATAAAATTAAAAAATCCTCTTTGATATTAGTCCTATATTTAGAGTGCTTATTTTTTGGAATGCTAGAGGGTATCTTTCCCCTTCCCACAACCGACCGACTGCACTTGCACCGCGCACAATCCTCCATGCACCCCCGCTGCTGCCTTTCCTCATGGCAGACCTCCTAATAGAGATCTCAAGTGCTAATTTCTGGTATTGTTCCCTTGAGAACAGATCAAAGTTCCTTTGTTAAAACTGATATTTGGATTAGTATCATGAAGAACATTGTTTGAATGGTTAATAATGTGGTAAAAAATTTAGATGTACTAAAACAAAAGTATTTTCTTTTCTCTGTCAGAAGCTTCCTTGAATTTCTAATGTATCACGAATACTTTGCAGGCTTTTTCCTAATGAGGGAGGAGGAAATGGCCCTGAACCAACAGATAAGCCAGCTGCTCCAGTTCATCCTTTCCATCCAAAAATGACAATCCGACGAGGGATACTGGCATCAGAGTGTGCAGATGTAATGCAGCAATTCTTCCAGCTTAGGAGAAGGAAAAAGGTGAAGAATGAAGATTTGCCTCCCAAACCTTCTCTTCCAATTGCAAGCCAGCAATCAAAAATCCTTCGGAAGATGCATGATATTTTCCATGCCTTTTTGTGTTTGTAAGGGAGGATTAGCTGTGTAATCGGAATGGTTGAATGCAATTTGTGGTTTAACTTTTCCCTTTTTCTCTCTTTCATTTTCTATGTTGAACTTTTTCCTTTTCCTCTCCTTTCATTTTCTGTGTAAATCTTATTGCCAAACACAGTTCCTTTTTCATTATTCAGGTACACAAGTAGTGGGTACGATTTTGATATAGCTGGCAAATCAATTCCCAATTATTACCAGTCAGAAGGTTGATTACAAATTTTATATGTATCACATTATAAATTTTCATTTTTTATTTTTAGGTTCACTAGACTTCAAAAAGTAGGATGCTTTTGACTCATAGCAGTAAAATATACAATTTGATGGCCTCTGGACGCCCCTCCAACACTAGGCATGCACTGTTAACCAGGCTTGCAGTGAAGTCATATGATTCTAGCAAAAGCTAAAAGCATTGCTTGGATTTTACTTGTAAGCGTTTTTTGAGGATTGGAATAAATCAATTATATGTTTACTAAAAATTCATAACCTGAGAATTCTCACTCATCACATTTCTATAGGAGGATGAAAAGATCAATTAGATTACATCAGCTCAGACGGGCACTAGAATTAGATACAAAAATGCCTTGCAAAGGAAAATTATGAATAGGGTATGGTGTCTTAAAAAAGCAAAATATATATAACTGGATACCAAAGAAAATGAGACCAGAAAAGGGTACCTGACCTTGTTTTCCTCTTGCATCTTTAATCAGACAATGACCGCTCAACAATGTTTAGGTTGTGTTAGGATCAACGTCGTGGTCAGTCCAGAGTAGATAAAAGTTTTTAGCACCAGCAAATTCCATCTACTTCCCTCCTTGTTTGTCTTATCCCATATTGGAAAATTTGACTAGTTATATTAGTGAACTATTTGGAGAGAAATACTCATAAAAACACTAAACTTTGATATCAAGTTTATGTTATTCTCTACAATAGAAACAAATCATAAATGAAATCCTTAAACGACACCAACATTTCTAACATCAATGATATGAATGAATGGACTAAATACCGTGATTTTAAAAACTGAAATGAGAAATATTTCTTTTATTTTGCAACGTTTTCAAACAGAATAAATAACTTGCTCACTCTAAATCATTAGAAAAGATGTAGCATTCCATTGAATGCTACATTTCTCCATCCAATACTGGACCAACCTTTTTTGTTTTTCACATTTAAATTCCTTTTGCTTATAACTCTATATAATCATTATTTGTTTTGTTCTCATCACAACAAAAAATGGGTTCAGTTTTTTTGGTTTTCATCTTGGGTTGCCTCTGTTTCCCATTAACCATTATCAATGCCCAAACACCAGCAGCATCACCAGTGACTTTGCCTATAACACCTCCACCTACAACTACCACGCCTCCACGTACAACCACACCCATAGCACCCACACAACCACCAGTTAGTGCAGCAACACCTCCAGCTATAACCACTCCCATATCACCACCATCTCCTAAAGCAGGACCGGCTGTCAGCCCTGCTGTCCCACCTCCTCAAATTCCACCACCACAACCATCACTAACTCCTCCAACTGCAGCTCCATCTCCACCACCCATACTGCCACCACCACCTGCATTACCACCTCCACAGGTGTCCCCTGCTCCAGCCCAAGCACCTCCTGCACCAGCACCTGCAAAGGAGACACCAGCACCAGCTCCAGCTGTGGAAACACCGGCACCTTCACCAGCAAAGGCATCCCCAACACCAGCGCCAGCACTGGCTACTCCATCACCAGCCCCAGTGCCAGCAACTCCACCACCAGCACCAACACCTGAATTAGTGCCTTCACCTGCACCAGCTCCACCCAAGCACAAAAAGAGAAGAAGACACAGCCATAAGCACAAGAAGCATCATCATCCACCAGCCCCAGCACCAACTCCCCCTAGCCCTCCAGCCCCACCAACACCACCAGCAACAGATTCTGATGACACAGCTCCTGCACCATCACCAAATCTGGTACATTACACAATTCCTCGTATCTAGGACTGATAGATCAACTGTCAAAATTAATATTTAAATTTCAATGAAAAAGAATTATTGACACCAAATTATTTTCAATTATTATTCTGTTTTTTTCTTTTCTTGGCTTACAGAATGGAGGAAATGCACATTATCAACTAGGAGGAAGGTCTGGAATGTGGGCAAGGACATTAGCTGTTGCTTTTCTGCTGCTTATTACAAGTTGCAGTTTTTAGAAATATCATATCATGAAGGCAGATAATTTTATATGCACAAATAAAGATCAATGGAAATTCATATAAAAAGGAATTATCATGTAAAAGAGACACCAATGGAAATTCAACATTTTTGTATTTTTTCAATTCTTATAAAGTTAGTATATAATAAAGAAGAGGTTTGAATTATAATCACAAATGAAAATCTCCGAAGGAGAAAACTGTTTGAATACTGAAACTCATCATCACTTGTCAAACTTGATCTGTATTTGATTCTGCAGTTACTTCCTCCCGCAAATCATATTCAATAATGAGACCAAGATTGTCGGCTAATTTGTGATATCGTTCACACCCTGCACACTAATAAGAAACACAAAAATATACTAAGGATAGGTGCAAAGAATATATTCTACATGTAGTCTGAATTTCAGCAGTTAACAAAACTATGATTTTTCTTTTCTCAAGTTCATTCATTCAGGCCAAATATTTTCTTGCAAGTTTAGCATATATCATTATTTTTCCTCTCATTGAAATTGAAAACTTACATTTCCTTGACATGTTAATCCCTATTTGATATCAACAGCATTTCTTTGTGAAAATGTGAGTTTTTAATTTCAGTAGAGCTTCTTGTTGCTTGAAGATAAACATAGAAGCCTTAGCATTCCATGTCTTAGGTTATAAGTTTCCCAGAAATGATAGATATAACAATTTTCATCGTAAGCAAAAACTATAAGCACACATCTTATAACTTTAAGAATAGCACTGCAAAATCACAATTTACAAATAAAAACTATATCAGAATAAATGTTTAACAGCATTGCTGTGTAAAGAACAAGCATCTCGCAAATAAAAGTCAACAAAGAAGTACCTGTACATAAACAAGCCCCCGTTCATAGGCTAATCGGTTTATAAGCCTCTGTGTTCTTTCACCGCATTCACCACAAGTGAATTGCACAAGCAAGCTCCTCCTAGGCAGTTTTGTGTCAATAGTTTCATCCTAGAAACACATGCAAAAAAGCAGAAAAATGGCAGCTTTAAATCACTCCTTAACATCTAAGAAAACTGCCTTGCCCATAAATTCCCAGATTAAGCACCATCACTCATCCACATAAAACCTCAAACTTTGTGTAATCATCAAAGCAAACAACAACGTAAAGCACCGAAATTTAACTAATTAAACTGAAACCAAACAATCAGATTCACATACCTTATTGAAATCGATCGGTTCCGATTCTGGGTATGTCTCGGAATTGCCATCCACCAACCCAGCGACTGCAACTAACCGGTACGAGCGTTTGGGCGATATTAATTTCGTCTGAGAGGTTTTCGGCCTGGAAAAAAAAAATAATAGAAGTGTTATTTATTTCAAAGTTCGGTAATCAAATTTGAAATTTTAAGCAGACAATTTTGGGGAAAAAGAGAAAAAACAGAGAGGGCATTTGGGCTTGTGACCTGGTGAGCGAGAAGCTAGGGTACGTGTTGGCGGAAAAAATTGGTTTGAAGAAGTTAGAAGACGAAAGAGAATTGGTGGGTCGGCGAGATTTGATCTTGAGATTTGAAAATTTGGCGCCAGAGAAACTACAATTAGGCAATGCAGCCATAGGTTTGATCTTGCGAACTGCGAGCAAACAGCTTCCAGGTATTGGATACACATATATTCCTTTTTGTTTTTTTATTCTGAAAATAACTTAATCCCTTTTGTTTTTTAAATAATATATACCTTTTCTTTCTTCAACTGAAGTTATAAATTTTTGTGGAGTGAAATAAAATTTTCTTCCTAATATTGATTTTTATTTTTGTTTATATATATATTGTATTTAGTGTAAGCCAATTGGTTTTGTATAATAATAATAATAATAATAATAATAATAATAATAATAACTTGCAACATTGTTGAAATGAATTAAGGTGCAGAGTTACTGATTCTGCTAAAACATAATTTTAACAAAGCTAACTACTTTCAATAACAGAGTCCAATTAATTTGAAACAGAATTTGTATAAAGAAAAAATATTGGAAAGAAGACATGTACTTAATGATATCTTCTTTTCCTTGAGAAGAATCAGTATAAAACTATGAACCATTTATTTTCCAATGTACATGGAACAATAATAATCAAGTTGATGTGTTGTGTTGTTACAACAACAAGAACTACAACTTGTGCAAAAAAAACTTAGGTTCCTATTGGAAAAATTTCGGTTTCTTCGATCCCGAATCGAATTTTGTAATCAACTGCTGCAAATTGGCATCAGTCTTCTTCATCAACTTCATGAAAAGGGAGTGGCACTGTTTTAACTGCTCTAAACTTGCCAGCATTATTTAGATGCTCATTCTCTAACCTGGACCAATTGTAAAAAATTCCCTATTAGACTTCACCTGATGAAAATTATATTTATGTGTGTGTGTACTGATAAAATTCAGAAAAAGAAATTTAGATGTATTTTTCTTTTTAATTCTTCTTTACCTGTAAAAATTCCATTGGCCTCTTCTAATGACTTCAAGGGCAGCTACAAATAACCCAGTTACTCTATAGTCAACACGTTCAAAACTCGAATGCAGAACTGTCTGTAACCAAGCAAGTCTGAGGATAAGGTTCAATCCCTGCACAGAAATAACCAACTTTTGTTTAGAATTTACTTTAAAACTTAGTACTTGTTATTATTTATAAAGAAGCATAAAAAATTTTGCATCTTTCATTTGTGTACTTAAATTCAGACAGCATCTATTTCTGTGTTGTTATCCGTCTATAATTCCATAGAAAATGGCATTTTCCATCAATTTTTCTCAGGAATATGTTCATTTTCCTCTTTGAAATTTTATATTGATAATTAAAAATGTAATAGGGAAAGTTGATTTGTCTAATCAAAGAACAGAATAACATGGCAGATGGAAGTGACAATTTTTGACAGATTAGTAGTTTTGGCTGGCAAAATATTCCCATGCATCTTCTTCTACTTCTGAAAAAAATTTATGTATATATATATACCATGGAGAAGTAGTAAATGAACTTTCGACGAAGCATTAATTCATTCCTTAGCCAAGGATTCTTGGAATTCATTTGAAGCAAACCCCAATCCTTTACAAAATCCCAGTACAATTGGTAAATTGTTGCAGCACTTGACATAATCACAACAAGACAAAGCCATCCAACACTTCTTTCCTTTTCATATGCTACTTTTGCTCCTGCTGCTAACATTGCTGATACATATTTGCCTAAATTTACTAGGTGGCTTGTCTGTCCTTCATCAAACCATCGCCTCGCGCACTGCACACACAATAAGTTAAGAAAAGACCTACTTAAATCTCAAAATTTCAAATTATTAGTAGGAAAAATGGCGATTTATAGAGCTAGAGCTCCATTACATACTTGCATAGCTCTCCAGTAGTAAGGCAGGAAGGATACTGCATATGCAAGATCGCGGTAGTGCTTAGCCCTCATGCAATAGCCATAGTCTTGTGTTTTGAAGCTTCCGGTTATATAATAACATGCCACATACTCGAGATTCCTAAGCATCTGAACCTATTAAATACATAAAGAAAACTATCAGCAAATCTAATTATGTCGAGCATTTAGTACTTTTAGTTTCAAATACTGCTAGAAAACTACCTGACTACAAAGTTGATCAGCCATGAAGAAGTCTAGCATCACAACCTGCGGAGACAATTAGTATTTTGTTCAGGATATGAAAATGGAAAAAATGGAAAATTTGAGAAATACAGTAAAGAAGCTACTTTTACCTTGTATAGAGGTGACAGAATAATGTTCCTAATCACAGAAAGGAAACGGTAACGACTAGACCGGTAGCATATGTTAAAAGGGCAAACTAGCAATAAGAGGAACATCTGCAAATAAAGAAATAAGTAATGTTAATCTATGATTAAACAAAAACTTTTGTGCATTAAGTAAATAATTTTTCTTTGACCAATAAATTACCAACAGCAGAAGACCGGGAATGGCTTGAACTTGGGAATATGAATACCCTTTTGTAAGAAGTAATAAATGAATAAACATCACTCCAACTACAGCAGTCATCGATACCGTGCATATCAAGAACACATCTCTGTACTTCAGCTCTTTAGTATGAGCAAATTCAAAAATGAAGCTATAATTTATTCTAGTCTTTCTCCACATGAAAATGTTGCAACCATAAAGAAACAAGTGTAGGAACAGCAGGCTGAACATACTGCATAAATAGCAGAAAAATTAGTACTTTAATTAGCTGCATTTTCTAAAATAAACTAACATTAAACATCAATTTTAGAGTAATTAACTTGCCTAAGCACAGGATAGACAGTTTCCATGTAGACAGTGTCTGGCTGTCGTCTATACATCCCGGTAATATGAGCCATTATAACATATGCAGCAAGGAGGGCAATGAAGCAGCCAGTGAACAATCCTGATGGATTAATTTAAGACATGATTAGATTAATTCTTTTCAAGATTCGATAAATGTAAATTTAAATATTATCTGGGTAATCTGATAAAATTAAAATTAATTACTCAAATCTGCAAAGTTCAAGCGGCATCACATATTGAAATAAAAATATTTTTGAAACATGAGTTTTCTTAGTCATATGTCCAATATGCAATGTTGGCCACTGGCACTTCTCTTCACTGTTTTCAAAAGTGAACAAAATTGCCAATGTTGTCTTATGCTCTAACAGCCCTTTTGTTGTTCAGACATTGGTACGGCTTGATTTTGTATCAAACGTATATGATATTAATAATATTGGTGTGAAATGGGACCTGTACTGCTTTATCATCCACCAAGATAAAGTAATTCAGTCACTGCAACAATTCATTTTGAAAGTCTCTAGTGGTCTAATGGGTCCATGCTTACTTTTGTTTCTTTTAAAAACTTATATTTTGTGATCAAGAACAAAGCTTTCCACTAAAATGATTGATAAAAAGAAATATTATCTTGTATTTTTAATAAGACTAAGTTCAATCAAAGATACTTACCAATGAAGAATGTTACACCATGCGATTCTTTATGCTGTTGGGGTTTAAGATATTTCACAGCTTTTCTTCGATCCTCTTGAGCGAAATTTTTGATAAATAGCTCTTCAACTTCATCTGCTAAGTTCATTACCTGTCATTTTTTCAGACTAATAAGCAATTTTTTTTTTTTGTTTTTTCTTTCTTTTTTTTTTTTTTTTTTTTCACAAGGATACTTACCAATTGAAGAATGTTACAACCATGCGATTCTTTATTTGCTGTTTGGGGTTTAAGATATTTCAACAGCTTTTCTTCGATCTCTTGAGCGAAATTTTTGATAAATACTCTCAACTTCATCTGCTAAGTTCATTTAACCTGTCATTTTTTCAAGACTAATAAGCCAATTTTTTTTTTTTGTTTCTTTTCTTTTTTTTTTTTTTATTTACTTATATGCAATTAAACTGGAATTCATAATTTTTTTTTTTTTTTTTTACTTATATGCAAAATAACTGGAATTCATAATTTTCTTTTAAAAAAAAAAAGATTTTGACAGACAAGCATATCTGATAAATTCAAATTCCATATATAAAAAAACAAAAAAGAAAAAATTGTGGTGCAGGGGTAAATTGCAAGAATCAAGATCATTAGCCACTTGACAATGTCGGCGAATAATCGGACGAAATAAAATTGCTAGTGGCAAACATTTAAAATAATTCAATCTATCATATATAATTTTCTTGCAGATCTCTACCAGTAACATTTCTATCCATAACAGGCACCAGATGTTTAATTTTACTTTAATTCTTATTTATTTACCTTGTCTGAGCTGTTAAAATAGGAGCTTTCAACAACTTTTAGATATATAGGAAGAACTTGTTTTCCAGTGACCTAAAGATCAAGAAATAAAACAAAAAAATCAGTACAATCACATTTTCATCAAATATTCATGCAAGAATATAATTATCATTTACGTACTTACTTTGTCAAACTTCTTCAAAATCTTTATGAAAGCTAGTAAGTTCAAGTTCCTGAAAGGTAATATAAATTATAAACAAGAAATAATTAGCTTCTGCTTATAAAACTAATTAAATCCAATAATTTTTTTTTTTTAATTTAGAAAAAGAAAAAGTATCAGTAGGTTACCTGTAAGTCTTGAGATAACCTAAACCTTTATAGAGCTCAACAAAAGCTCCTTTAATCATTTTTTCTGCATGATTCAACTTTGTTTTACTGATATGCAGTCTTTTTCCTTCTGGGTTGCATTTCCTGGATGACTGGTTAACTAAATCTTCCCAAACTAAATAGCTGATTGCTGAGAAAGTACGAGAAGGATTTGTTAAAGGAATATTTATCTTTAAATTCTTCCCTTGGCAACTGAAAACTCGACTTGAAAGTGTTCTTAATTTGCTATCCTCTCTTTTTATAATTCCCATTGATCTACTCATTTCTTCTGATATTGGAGAATCTAATACTTCATTTTTCTCCAAATCATCTGTGTTAGTTTCCTGAACTTGTACTTCTGCTGTTCTGTCTCTAACAGAGTCCTCGTCTGCAATCAAGAATGTAAAATTTTTACTTTTTGTGTATTAGTCAACTTATTTTAAGGACAAGAAAATGTGAAATGTTATATCCTGCAGTTATGTGATAAAACCAGGAAATTAATTAGTAAAAGTTCATATTGTTTTTTTCCAATTCCTGAAATGGATTAATAGGAGTAAATTTTTATCAATACCACAAGAGATAGTGCAAGATATAGAAGCCTCCTCTTTAGAATCTTGAGCAGAAGTCCCATTTTCGTGCTGTTGTTTGAATGCAGTTTTGAGCTCAATGAGAATGTTCATTTGTTTTTTCAAAGAATCTCCTCTTTCTAAGAACTCTTTCTCCTTACTTTTGTAAAATTGATTCACTTTATTAAGTTGCAAGTCTAAACATGCAAAAAACTCCTTAGCAGCATCAGCATCCTCAAATTGTTCAAGTAATTCTGTCTCGTACATATCTCCTTTACTTGCTGAAGATGCAAGTTTCGTATGAACCTGTTTACACCAAAAGAAACAATCATATTATTTAAAGAAACAATAATTAACGTACAAAAAAAATTATAAAAGTAGAGAAATATTTGAAGTAGTAGTACTTGAATGGCTCCATGGTCCCTTGGTTGATGGGAAAATGGAGAGTACTTCTTAAGAGTTGAAAAAAAGTTATTGTATTGTCGGTGCTGCTTGGTGGCGGCGGCGGCCGCGGTGGTGGTGGTACTGTTATTAAGAAAATGGAAATTCTTGATGTCTTTCTTGAGTTGCCAATAATCAACAAAGGCATCTTTCCATTCAGGCACAAGTTGACCTTCAAATTGCTTGGAAAACTTCACCATTGTTTTCTTTTTCTTGTTCAAAGAACTTCAAGAAAAAAATAAAAAAAAGGAAAATGGGAGGTGCAATACAAGAGCTAGTTAGCTATGGCTATTTAGTTCTTGAGAATGTGTGTTTTAAGGGTAGCCCAAGATCACAATATTTATGGGGCATGACTGATGAAAAAGGGAATATGATTGATGTACATAAGTACCGATGCTCGACAGCACATTCTAAAATATCCTTTTTGCGCACATATGCTAATCCTATATATATTCTCTTCCACTTGATTAGATTTATAGTGGCCAAGATTCGCCGGAAATTGACCGAACCCTCACCGGATGAGATCACTACTCCGGCAACAAGTTCTGTCATTGAGATTTTGAAATGGTGGGGGGAATTTAAAGTGGATGGTTGATGATGGGGGGCCATGCACACGTCATCGTTAATAAACATGAAAAACTATGAGCCGTAGTTATTAATACACACGGTAAGTCACTGATATAACAGGGACACGCCTATGTAAGTGATATGTTCAAAATATTATTTTAATATATCACTTGCACGTTTGATATGTGTACGTGGAGTCATATCTGAAAATGTCCAACATGGAGATTATGTTTAAGGGTTGTTGGACAAAATTTACTGTTTTGATAACGGGAGGTGTTTTACCTATTTGAGTAATTTTTCATAAAATGTTAAGAGTTAAATCTTATAGAGTTAACTTTTTATAAAATAAAATTTCAATTTCTAAAAGTTAATTAAAATACTGCGTTGTCGAACAGACACTTAACCTAAGTGTTTGATGGTTTACTAAAAGAAAATTTTGGTACTTGATGCTTTAATTTTATTTATCGAGTTAAATTATTTTAACCAAAATGTTGTTGTTGCTAGAAATGAAGCTTTTCACTTTTAGACAGGTTATAAAACCTTTTTCTGTTCTTGATTTTACTTGTGAAACTTTGGTGCTTCTATAAGCAGGGACAAAATTACCTTGAGACTTAAGAAGCCATGTAGACCCGGCCACAAATTGGTTTAAAATCGGAATTGAAATGAAAAAATAAAATCAAAATCAATTTAGAGCGATTGAGTTTAGAATTGAAAGGATTTTAGGTCAACTCCGTTTTAATTTTTGAGATTAAAATCACCTAAAAATGGTGGAATCTCGTCGAACTTGAAACTAATGAAATAAAGATAATCCCGATTCCAAGTTCTATGATGAAATAGGCAACCTTGGAATATAACCTCAAAATTCAATCCCAAAAAAATTTTATTTTATTCTAATTCTATTTTATACCCCAATATTCAAACTCTAGTTCTACCCTACAAGAACTAGAATCATGGGCATATCTGGGTACTTTGGTGAGGAATTACCTAATAATTATGTATTAGTTACCAAGATTAACATAAATTAAAGATGATAGGCTGATTATGTATAAGTTCACAAACACCTCTTCTAATTAGACCACCCAGATTTCCACTAATTTTTTTTTTCCTATGCTTCTATAGCACTGCATTAAATATTAATATTAGAGTTGATAAGCTTACATATATTGAAATACTTATCATACGTTGCTATACACATCAGCTATTCATTAATCTATTCCCATTAATTAATTTTTTTTAAAGGAAAAGCTTTACTTATGTTATTAATTACAATTTAAAAGAGATAGATAACCATAAATGTATTTTTTTTTAGAATTTATTTAACTAATAATTAGGAATATATATGGCTATAAGCCTTTGACTCTTACTCAATTTCCCTATGATGCTTTGCTTTGATGGGAATAAATATATAAACCATCATTACTAATCAAGAAAGAAATTTATTAATGGAGAAATAATGGCATTTTAGCCAATTATATATTTGTTAGTCAATACATTATGGCCTACTTCTTTTTATTACACAAAATGTTTAATCTGTATCCTATGTTTATAAAGCTTCCCACATCATATAATTACTATTGTTTTGTCATGAAAATAGTTATTCTTGGCTTGATCATGATAAAGCTGGTTCACCATATTTACGTTCTTGCTCTCTCTATTCTACCAAAAAATAAAATAAAACCCTTAATTTACAAATGACATTTATATTTTATTTTATTCTCTTCCATAAATATATTTTAACAAAATCTTGAAAAATATTTTGTTTTTGAATTTATATTAATCTCATCCGTATATCTGAAAGGATCATTGTGCTTCATTTGAATGCTTCCTGATTGTTTGTTTCATTGGATTAGTAAGTCCTTAAGTCCAAAATTTGTTCCTTTTATTCTTAATTTTTAATAAAAACATTAAAAATACCCTTTATCCTAACTCTATTGAACTTCTGCAAGCTAAAAACAAAAATTAATTTTGTTAGGAATAATAATTATTTTATTTTTGAAATAAAACTGAAAGAAGATGAGAATAATTTGAAGTTGCTGCTGAGAAAATAATGTTGTTCTTATCAATTTAGATATATATAAAGCCACTTTCGTCTTTTCAATAAAAACTAAAGGCAAAGTGTAAAAATTTGGACAGAAAGATTAAACTGTTGAATAATTTTAAATCTTATAGATATATTCATATTTTTTTTTAAAGGGTAGAAAATAAGTAGTTAATTTCGTAAATCCATAAGAACTAGGTAGTAATTTATCTGACTCTAAAAGGAAAAAAAAAAGTAATTTAGCCTTATTTCTATTTAATTATGGTGTTTCTTTTCTTTTAATAAATATTTTTCCTTTTCAATTCTTGTGTTTGCTTTTCTTCTTTTTACTATTCCAGAAAAAAAAGAAGTGTTGAAAAGGGAGGGAAACGGAAGGCTGAGATAGATTCATATAGAAAAATATTATTTTTTTACCATAATTGATGGGAAGATTTGACGTAAAAAAGGAAAAAGTATTTATGTAGTTAGAATTTTTTTTTTTTATTTTTGAAAAAAAGAAGAAAGTTATAACTATTTAATTTAATTGATAAAGATTGTTTTTTTTTTTCATCAATTTCAATTGCTCTGGGCTTTAATAATTTTACTAATTGCTATAATGGCAATACTTTAAGAGTTTTGAAAAAAAAAAACTTTAAATTTATTAACTAGATATAATACCTTCAAAAAATAATAGGTTAAGCATTTCCTATTAATCAAAATAATGAGGAATTGAATATATTAATTTGGAAAATATTATTAGCTGTTAATGCTAATAATTATATTTAATGCTGGACATTATTCAGGAAAGTCAATCTAACATAATCAGTTTAGTTCAATTTGATTGTAAAACTTTTCGATACAATTTTCATTTGTAAAGAAAAATCAGGAAAAATTAAAAAATTAGTTTGAACTAATTCGATTCAATTTCAAATAAATTTTAATTTCAAATTAGATTATTTTTAAAAATTTTGATTTATTCAGTTTGAGCTCATCTAATTTAATTTAAATAGAATTGAGAATGGGGAATTGGATGCTTGCCTTGGAAAGTTTGGCGCCTATATATTGAATTCATAGTTGGCTATCTACTCCCATATGGTTGCGGTAATTTTAGATAATTGCGCATGTGGTGACACAAAGTATCAATAACGAAAAGTCTCTAATCTTTGTAGAGAAGATACCTTTTGTAAAATATTTACTAAAAGAGTAAAAATCTTTACACTCTGCTGTTCAAAAATCTTATATATCCAAAAAGATTCTTCTCTTTTGTAATCTCGGAGCTTTAATTAGCTTTCATTATTAAAAAAAAATGTTTTTTTAGTAATAATAATAATGCAAAAATCAAGGTTCTATGTTCTATTCTATTGTTCCTTGGTTCCCATATATACAGTGCCACTCACACAATCACACCCCAACTTGACGACATGTCTTTTTAACCCTAAACTACAATATCCTTCCTTGCCCTTGTTTTGTTCCCTTTATCTCTCTCTACACCATCTCCTTTTTCCTTTTCTTTTATATTTTTTTCTTAAAAAAAAAAATATGTATTTAGATGTGATTAATTGTAACATCAACATTATAATTGTCAAAAATTGACAGCGTGCCTAAGCTAAGGTGCATGGCTGACTCAAAGATTCGTTATATATTTTTGTCGTTCGTGCTCTATCTCCCTCCCCTACAAACACATGTATACTTTTTACCGTTTTGTTTTACCATTTTGGTAGATATCAAGTTTGGGTGATATGATTTGATTTAGACAGAAATAGGAATCGGCTTCAAAAGTACCGGTTCGCAATCAAAAGGGAAAGACTCCGATTCCGATCTCTCCTCCTATGTTTTTTGAACCAAAAATAATTCAAATTCGACCTCTCCTCTTAAGGTTTTTGATTCGAAACTAGTTGAAAGTTGTTGGTGCCATTCAATATTAACATAATTAATGTATTTAATTTTAAAAAACATGTCAGAATAAAATTTTTGGTGAAAAGCATGGCTTAAAAAATCTTGATATGGTAAAAAAAAAAAAAGAAAAAGAAAAAAAAAAAAAAGGGGTAAAAAAAAAAAAGAAAAAGGAAAAAAAAAAAAAAAAAAAAAAAAAAAAAAAAGAACACACGAAACCTAAGGCTTTAGGGTTTGTCGAGCCAATTATATGACATGAAAATGATGGTCTGATTCAGATAGCATTTTTGTTTTTGGGTGCGTCCAAGCAGCTACCCACCTCTCCCTGCTTCTTTTCTTCTACTCATAATAACATTATCATCTCCATATCTACAGATTCTATGTTGTATTCTAACAGACGTTCGACCCCACAAATAAACTACCAAATGATCTATCATCGTTAACTGAAAATATCACACTTAAATGCTAATAATAAAGTCCATATTATCTATTAAATCATTGAATTTTAACTCAATAGTATTGCAGTCGTCCGTAGAACTATGAGATTTTAAGTTCGAAAGAAACCAAATTAATTATGTTTGAAATAAATAATTAAGTATTTGGGTTTGATATTATGTTTATTTTTCTTTATAATGCTATACTTGAATTACATTTGAAGATTCATCTTTATAGTATTCCCTAAAAAAGATTATCTTTATTGTAAATGCATACGTATCTAAATAGGTAAATAATATATCGATTAGGCATAAATCAATTAGTGTAGCCATAGCTTGTCCATATCCAATCAAATCAATAATTTAATTTAAAAAAAAGACATTATTTGATTTGGTTCTAAGCTCTACAGATTTCATTCCTTATCTTGAATTTTGCCCATAGAAGAAGGTACGTGACTACATAAATATTTACCTTAAAATAAAAGAAAAGAACAAAGTATAAAAATTCAAAGATTCATTAGCCACTTTGATGATGGAAGATGCTTTCTTAATCTAATCTTCACAAAGCCTAAAAGTTATTGCTTCCGTTGCATGAGCTCAAGCTAATATTTATGCTCATCATTCCA